GTGCTGATTGTCCCCATGGTCAAGCCATTTTTTTCCCTCTTCCTCTCCAGGAAGTGGTCTGAATTTGAGGGCCAGTGCAACTGTTTCCGTAGTAACACACACTCTCACTCTCTCCCTTCTTTTCTCTTACACACACACACACACACACACACACACACACACACTGTGATGGTGTGGGAGGATGTTATTGATCCGTGTTAAAGGGAGGAAACAGGAATGTTTCCAGGAAATGCACACCGCCCGCATGGCATGTTACTGTCTCTTCACTTCTCTCTGTCTCTGCTCATCAGATGTTTAAATAATTGCCACATCAATAAAAGTGTGTTTCTATTTAAAATCTCAACATTTGTATTCACATTTCATTCCTATCAGTGTTTAAATATTTGCAAAAGCATTAATAATATAAAAGAAGATAAACTGGCACAGGGTGCAGTATCTGTGGATGTGCATTATTGGAATTCTGTCCATAAGCTTTTCCTGCTAATAATGCCTGCTGGGCCTTCCCTCTGTTGTGGGTGGGGAAAGAAGGGAAAACATTGTGCTACACTTTATTTACTCACCCTTGTTAAATATACGTCTGGATTTGTTTTGTAAAAATGTGTGTCGCCTTTGAATAAACTTTGGCACCTCTATCGTTTTGGAACATCGAGTAAAGCGTGTCTTTCGAGGGGGGATGTATGTAAAAAGACGACTCCTCTCAACAAACAAACAGCATTTATATTTAAAAAAAAAAAAAAAAAGGAAAAGGCTCTTGCTCTGGAGCTGGTGCTGCACCCCGGACCAGTCAGGGATGCAAATGATGCACCTTAACGCCATCAGGTACTGGAGTTGACAGAAAATAATGAGAACCCGCTGAATCTTTTATAAGGTTAACACTCACATTTCCCAGTCAGCTGTCACACAAGAAAGAATTTAGCACATGCATGCGGGCGAAATGAACCTTCATCGTCTCATTAATGCTGACAGGGCCCTGGACCGGCAGCTCCCAGCGCCAGCGCCGCCACCACCTTCGTTTTGTGTCGGTAATTTGCAGCAGAGACAGACCCCCTTCTCCTGGAGAGAAAACGGGAGGAGGGAGCGAGATATTACGGAGGAGAGTGAGAGGGAAAGAGGGGAACGGTAGAGGAGGATCGTGGAGTGAGTGCAGAAGAAAAGAGGGAGGGAAGGTGGGCTGGGGAGGGGGGGCTGGAAAGATGGCTAGCGCGGCAGGAGTCTGATTCTCCTCTAATTGGAAGCATTGGGCATTGTCAACGGAGGATTTTCAGCTGCTCACTGACAGGTAGAGCCGTCAGAATGATAGCCCACTTGTCAGCGCAAAAGACCAATAAAAACAAACCACTTTTGATTTAATTGGAGGCCTAACCATGGTGTGTGTGTGTGTGTGAGGTAGAAGGTGTGTGTGTGTGTTGCCTGCAGGCCCAGGGCCGTGGGGAGGTGGGAGGAGGAGTGAGGATGAGTGGGGGCATTTGTGTCTGTGAGTCAGTGTGTGTGTGTGTGTGTGAGACGGAAATCATCACTGTAGCCATCAGTGTGCTCGGCCTTCCTCCATCTTTGCCATCACTCCTGTCCACGCTGGCTTTGTGGTGGTGGTGAGGGGGTGAGCGGTCACCGGCTGCCTGTGGTGAGAGGCAGGTTTTGATTCTGTCCCAGGAGGCCTTCATCACAGATCCAAACAGTTTCTCCATCTTCTTCATCCCTCTTTCTTCTTCCTCCATCTACAGGCTCTTGCCACAGACGCCGGCCTTTTAAAAAGCAGATAAGAAATGTTTGACATTTCTTCTGCTCCTCCGTTGACTGAGACTTGAGCGACCAGAGGAAACGGTGAGAGCTAATGTCACAGTGACTTTATGTGGCTCTTGTGTCCGAGCGTCTGCTTGTTAAACTCGTATCTGCAGGATATCGCTGCAAATTGAAGAGAGAAGTTCACGAGATAAGAATCTTTTCTTATGCTTTACCAGTTTTGCAGTGGTTTTTTGTATTGTGCTGAATTCAGGTTTGAGAGGAACTTGTTGCCGTATTTTCAAGATCTGTCAAAAATGACGCAATGTTCAGTCTCTTGAGGAGTAATTATGATGACGCAGCCATTGTCCCATGTGTTAGTGACAGTGCCGGGACATATCAACACAAAATGGCCAAAAATATGTGGTCATGGACTCAAAATCCTGCAAGTGTCAACTCTCACTGTGACTTCGCCCACTGACACTTGCACATTGGCTTCACTTTCCAGACTCGGCAATCAACGTCCTTGTTTATTTACAGTCTCGGGCTTTAGGACTCGTAGTTCCAATAATGTGAATACAGCAAACAGTCATATTAAGACAACAGTGTTTTTTTCAACTCTGTGGCAACAGTTTGAAGGTCATACATGTTTTTCCTAGTTCGCTGTGGAAGAAATGTATCACCCTGACCTCAACCTCACCCAGAACTTTTGGGATAAACTGGAACGCAGACAGTGACCCAGACAATAACCCTCTAATATCAGTGCTGGACCTAATTATTAATGTTCTTCTGGCTGAACGGGAGGAAATCCTTCAGC